TTTGGTACCAAAAATACCACAGACTGGTTTTGCAATGTGACGGTTCGCGAGAGGAGGCACAAAGACCTCAATGAACTTAAAAAGAGAAAAATGTGACTAATTTATCCCTAATAAAGCAGGACTGACAGAAACACATTTGTGTAATTAAGCAGAGTTTATTTATTACTGGTCATTGTTGTTATTAAAGCAGCTTTTAGATTTCATTTCGCCATATTCCACGGCGCTCCCATTCAGTCATTGTCTACTCTCCCGATCTTTTATCCCCAGTGTAAACTGGGCCTCTTGTTTTGAGCCCTGACCGTATGGTTCATCTTACCTGCCACCCGTTCGTCTGTCTCTCGGTTACCGTCATCTGAGTAACGGGCAAAGTCCAGAGAGTCTAAGGTGCTGATGCTGCCTGCTCGATCTGAACAAAAACACAGACACAGAGACAGAAGTGAGACAAGTATACACCTGCATAACCATACAGCTAAATGATTGCACTCCCCAAGAGCTCACAGTTGAAAAATTTAACTGTGCAGCCTACATGGTGCTCTATAGATTCTTCTCTATGAAATAATAGGGTCAGCTTCAGTGTGGTAAAACCCACTTCCAAACTATTAATTTCACCAGCTATACACAGGGGTAGGCAGGTGCTAAGAGAACGAACATAAAGGTGATAAATAAGCACACTCTTTGCTCATATTTCACTGGGCTAGGCTGCTCTGATAGCTAAGTCAATGGTGTTGGCTTTCTTTCCACAGCAATGCAAGTGTGAGATTGGCCTGTTTGTTCTCTGATATCAAGATACAGTACAATGTCAAGTTATATGTGACCTTGTTGGCCTGAAAGACATGTTTTTTAAAACAAAAAAACAAAAAAAAAAACAAAAACAAAAACCTGTGTGAGTAATTTAACTGAATTAGCAAATCATTTCCACTCATTAAGTTATAACTTGTATTATAAACTTTGATCATATTACTACTTTGGTTTGTTAAAATCCTCTAGAGTTTAAAAAAAAAAAAAAAAAGACTGAGGAAAACTTAGATATCAAAGGAAAAAAACAGCATGTATTTCCCTTTGTAGACAAGTAATGTATTTCACTAATATTTCTTTTTCTGTTACATATAAGATTTGTCTATATAAGCGTATACAATATTTTATGTCATGTTCAAATTCATGACCATGCAACTTTATGATATAGTGACAGTGTTTCTCCATTGTCTGTCTACACAAGTGTCACTGTTCTGCCAAGCTGATGTCAGGCAAACTAATTTTCCTGCATAGAAAGCTTCCAAACGTGTTTACTTCCTGATGATGTGTGAGGACATTTGTTGTTAGTAGCTACAATCCATCTGGCAAAACAGCGAGTAATAGAGTTTGCAGGTGTGCGTGCATGAACGGAGCAAAAGAAAAAACAAAAAAGTAATCTGACAATGTGAGGGGGAATTTGCAGATGTCCTTTGTGTACAAAAAAAACAAAAAACAAAACAAAAAAAAAAACAAGCCTGGTTGACCTTTCATTTCCTTGACAGATTTGACACTTCAGTCAGTCACCACCTCCCTTTATTCAACCCCAGCTGATTATACAACACATAAGCGCACACAGATGATTGTCTTTCTACTTGCCAAAACAGAAAACGCTAAAGGATATACACTGAAAGCTAAGGTACACGAGTTTACATCAGGGCCTAGGAGCTGATATTGATGAATGGTCAGGAGGAAGCCAACAGGCACTTTTAATTTAATGGGAAGGTTTTTGGCAAGACTGATTTAAACTGTGGTTATAAATATGGGATGAAAAAGTGGAGCACATATTATAAGTGAATCACAGACAAGCACACAAACCTACGCAAGATCAAATATCTTAGGTCTTAAGAAAATAAGCCTTTTTTGTCTGGCAGCAGATGGTAGATCATTTTATTCATGCCAGTGTGTGTATGTATGTATGCATGTATGTGAATAAATGATGATGATTACTTATTGAGATTTTACCACTTATTCTGTGTATCTCAATATTGTCAACTCAAACTAACAGAATAAAGCCATTTGAGGCACAGTTTCCAGTACAAAATTACTGTCAAGTCAGAATTTTCTATTCCTAAGCATGTTATCATTTCAATCGCTTTGCATAGTATTAGACAAAAATCAAATGTATGTTCATGTTTACTGTGTGAATTCATACAGTACAGCAATATACTCCTATTGACAGATTACATTAGAGTGCAGCGCACTGAAAATGTAGTTTGGAGATTTCAGACTAGGACAGCACATAAATTGTGGTCACAAATGATCTAGAACGGATAATGTAAAGCTTCTATTTAACCTATTTAAAGAATACAAAAGTTCCTGCAACGATTACAAATAAACAGTTGCCTGTCTAGCAAGAGGTGAAGAGAGAATCCTGCAAAATTCATTGCAGCAAATTAGCAAGGTGGTGGGAGATGGCATGCTGTGTCATGTGCCCAAGAGCAACAGCTGCAGATGCAGCTTGTAACACAGTCATTATCCACACACATGCTCACTGCTGATTCACAGTCACAAGTTTTTTTTATTTGCAATCACCACACCAATTACATTTCAGATTCATCAGAGATTTGTTACTTCATCAGAGAGATTTTGTTTTAAATTCTAGCCTGTATCACATATCTAAAAAAAAAAAGTCTTATTTATAGCACTATATGGATGAAGCCTATCCAAGGAAACTATCACACTCTCTAGACTGTATGCTGCAGGTACAATATCCATCTTTTCATTAACTTCAGACTTGATAACAGGCATCAGAATCTATGGATCAAAATTTATTTCAGCGCAATAAGTCATCATAAACTAGACATCATTTTATTTATAGTGTTTACAATCATAAGGATCACAAAGTCAGAAACCACTGAAGGGGATTTGTTTAAAAACAAACAACAACAAAACAAACAAAAACACACACGAGAAACTGGCTGTTGAAACAGCAAGCTGTTCTGTCAATGTAGAAAAAGAAAGCAGACATCCAAACAGTATCCCTCCTTCTTTAGCAACAAGAGCAACTTAAGTAAATCCTAATGTTGCAATGTGACAGAGAAATTCTTCCCACATGAGAAGAAAGATAATTGCAGAGATCACATGAGGTCTGGACTATCAGCTATGCTAGGACGAAAAATGACATGGATGACATGGCCTTCAGCAAAGTCTGTCCCTCATTTCAACCCATTGTTACAGGCTACAGGCTTGTAGATTACATCACTTCTCTATGATGTTCCTGTCACAAGCACAACAGGGGAGGTGTCAGGTCCTTTCAAACTCACGATCTTACCGTGTTCCAAACCTTTTGGGAAATAGGAGATACTAAAAGACACACTGCTGTAGCCTTAAGGCATAGATACAAGGGCAGAATTTAATTATAAAGGTTGGGTTTAACAGATTTTAAAAAAGACAAGGAATCTGACTAGCTGCCGTTTGCAATCTGGAAAAGCCAGACTGAGGCCAGCTACCAAGACACACGCCTAAAACTATACTCCGGTTTTCTGAGATCTTAGGCAATGTTCTGGTTTTAACATTTATTTATATGAATCGCTCAGCTGGAAAACTGCCAAATGCTTCTACAGTAAAAATACATAATTTAGCCTTGTTCCATAATTTGAAAAAGTCAAAATTACATTTGCAGCGCAGCTTCAATGACATGCTGCAAAAAGCCATTCACAGTCTGGCACACTGATAAAAATCCTTTCATTCGTGAGGGCAATGTCTCGAATGAATGACCAAACTCACCCTACAAAAACATCTTAAATCCGTGATATAAAATCAGTCAGCCTTGATTTTGAGTGCATGTTTCACTGCCAAATAGATATTGGAAGAAGACTTTTTTCTCCCCCCCCCCCCCTAATTTCAAACAGTCAAGTAGACAAACACACCCACTGGTGTGACATGGCACTTTCTATACAACAGAAAAAAAACACCTCATTTTCAGTGGAAGGGAGATTTATTTTTTTAAATTAGTGTGGTGAACAATGAATCTAGGTGTAACATAATTCAATTTACTACCTATAAGCTTCCTAATCTATCACACATCTAAAATTATAAGATTATAATTTATATTAATGAGGTCTACAATGAATTCATGAAGTAAATACAATAATAAATGTTGAGTCAACACATTTCTAAATGTTAGACCAATATATTTTCATCTGGTCATTTTTTAATGCTAATAGTCTATCATTGTAGCCAATTTGCTAATCTTTTAATGTCAAGACATTATGCTGAGTGCAAATACATTCGCTTGACTCACTGGTATGAAGTGAGGCCACAACAAATGTTTTTGCTGCTATTTAACAAGATTTTAACTCTTTAGTTACTGCTTCTACTATAGCAAGTGCTGTTTATTTGTGGATGAGGCTGTGACCATGGGTACCATTTGCATAGCAGGTCTGCCTAAGGTCCTTGCTGCCAGACTCTTCAACTGCTGTGTTGGTGCATGGTGATTAATGAAAATGAGTCTTGTAAATGGATTAGGGTGCAACAGATGTACACATTTTACATAATAACATTTACAGCATTTTATCTCCCTAGCTGGGTAGACGCAACCTGTGTAGAGCAACACAACCATTTACAAGACACTTTGCTCCTGGACCAGATGATACAGCTTCAAACTAATTCAGGAAGCCTGTTTTATCATTATTACAAGACTGTAGAATTCTCCTTCGTTCAAATGTGCTATTTAAGCAATACTGTGGTTCAGGGAAAGGCAAAAGCTGTTCGTACAAGCACCCGCTTCTTCTCCTTCCACTCTTTTGTTTTCTATAGCCGATATTGACCTCTGACCTCTGACGGGTGTTTTCCTACAGGGCTAAATTACACTTGGGCGATCACTACAGGCCACCAGCATTATTACGCTACCAGTATTTATCTTTCAGTGAGTAGTTAATGTTTAATGCCTTGTCACAACTCTGTGTTAGTCTGTCATCTCACGACTGACCCACAAAATCCAATAGCTGGCTGCGGCCCTGGAGCTGAAGAGCAGGTGCAGCAAACAGATCTCAAGCTATCGTAGCCAATGATTAAAGCTAACGTTAGCCAGCTGATGGGCTAACTCTGTTTCATACAACATCAACACAGAGCTAGCGAACAGCTACATATGTAGCACTAAGAGCAGCTAACGACACTTACTCAGTGGTCCTCCAGGTCCGAGTACCTGGTCTTTGGCAGGTGGAGTACCGCTCTGTCGTTCGAAGTTGCCAGGGTTGGAGAAATAATCCCTCAGCCGGGGGAGCTCTCTGCCTGCTTCCAGCAGTTCGGTGTGAAACTCCAAGGCCGTGAGGATGTATTGGTCCCGCAATAACTGGGCAGCGATGACATCTACAGATACCCGCGTCTCGGCGCTGCCTGCCATAGCGGAGGTGGCGGCGGCCGACGCCGAGATGCCCTCACCGCTGGGGCTCGTCCGGTTGCTAGACAGCAGGAGCGACGGAGGCTCTGCGTCTGCAGGCGGAGAGAAAGGATTGCCTGGCGGTGGTCCTGGCGCCCCGTCACTCGGACTCCGCTCTGTGTCAACTGTTTCGTTAGGGCGCCGTTCGGCCTCTTCTTCAGAATCACTGAGATTAAATGGGTTCACCGACGCCATTTTTGCCCTAAAGAGATTTTTTTTTTTTTAGCAATCTAAGCTAGCTAAGCTAATCACACCCGCTGCTTCCTGAATGGATATTAGGTTAGCTAAGGTTTGGTAGGTGGAAGAGGAGGAAGAAGAAGAAATGCGAAGATACGATTGGTCAAATGTAAGAGACGCTACTCCCAAAGCCCGCCCCTTTTATGGAATACTGGAAAAGTATTGGGTACCTTTGATGTAGAGAGGAAAACTAGGCAGGGCACATTTGACAGCTGATAGCAAGTGCTAGCTACTATGCTGTCAAAAAAAGCTGCGCCCAAACCATTTCTATTAAAATGCACTTCACTGCAAACAAAACAAATAAATAATGGCTGTTTATTTTTTTATTACATTTCGTAATAGGTAAACTTGAAGTGAATCGTTTAATTTAAACTACACTACCCACAATGCAGCTACAAACCACGTCAACACAACGTCAAAAACGAGTGACAACAAGGAAGTGAATGCTCATGCTGCCTGAATTTCTTGTAGTAATCTTCTTAAACAGGGAGACATTTGGTTTTAGGTTGATCTTTTTTTAGGTTGATCTGTCTGGTTCTCTGAGCATGTTCTTGGCGATCTACGAAGTGACAATGGAAGCTAAAGCAGTGTTTAACAAGTGAATCTATGAACTAGTAGTAGTAGTAGTAGTAGTAGATAGGTTGGTCACTCACTCATTCATTCTTTAACGGAACATTATTCCCGTTTTTATGATCAAAATCCGCTGACGTTACATGCAGGTAAGACTCTTTTCATGGCCTGTTTTAGTTACTTAGTTAGCTTAGTTACTTTCTTGTTACCAGTGGTCAGTTGGCTGGACCATTAAAATAAAAATAAACATTAAAGTCTTTTTTTTTTTAACGTTGCTTAATGGCATATGGTGAACGAAGGATTAAGCTGCTCTTAAGACCGCATACTTTGGCTTAACAAGCCTATATTATTCTGAAACCTTCTAATGCCCCTTCTATTGGCTTTAACTTCTTAATCCTGATTGCAAATGCAGGCTGTGAGTTGTCTTCATTCTATTCCAATTTTTTTATTTTTCCTTCTTCTAGTCACCTCTTTTCACTTCCAAGCGAATTAAATCTACCCTGCTTGTCCTCAAGTAAACCCTCAGTTGTTCTTCGGCGTGGCTTTGGCACCCAAAATGAGGATGATCACCTTCTTTGTGATTGGGCTGACAGTCCACGTGGTCTTCTTCATCTCTATCTTTGATATCTACTTCACCTCTCCTCTGGTCCATGGCATGACACCCCACTCCACACCCCTGGAACCCCCTGCTTCCAGACTGGTGTTAGTGGTGGCCGATGGTCTCAGAGCAGACAGTCTCTTCACCCTGCTCCCTAATGGCTCATCCAGGACACCATACCTGAGGTCAGGAAACCAATACAAAGTAATAAACTTTGATGTGGAGTTTGGGTGTGTTTATATTAATTATTCTTGTAAGGTGATGCCATTTTTACAGCATGTCTTTTCATTCCTCCTGTTTGCATAAACATATGTGCTTCTGTTTCCATATTTCAGGAGTATAATAGAGGACAAGGGGACCTGGGGTGTGTCACACACACGTGTGCCTACCGAGTCTCGGCCTGGTCACGTTGCTCTCATTGCTGGCTTCTATGAGGATGTTAGTGCAGTTGCTAAAGGTGTGAATGATGTTTTGTTTCGTTTTGTTTTTTTTACATGGTAGGAAGAGAAATGCTCAGCGACTTGGAGAGATTACTCTCTATTGTATGTGTTTCTCTGTGGCATTCTACTGTGACCATTTATGTGCTTGTTTTCAGGCTGGAAGGAAAATCCTGTAGAATTTGACTCTGTGTTTAATGAGAGCAGACACACCTGGTGCTGGGGCAGCCCTGATATCCTGCCTATGTTTGCCAAAGGTACACAAGCATCACAAACAGAACCATTAATCTACACAATAGAAAAGAAATAGAAAAAAACACTAAATCACATATCTGAGCAAACATGTTTCCTTTGGTTATTTCAGGCGCTAGTGGGGACCATGTGTATACCCACACATACCCGGCAGTGGAGGAGGACTTTGCCTCCACAGATGCATCCAAGCTAGACAGCTGGGTGTTCACTCAAGTCAAAGTATGTAGTGGAAGTATTAGCATAAAAAATAATTTTATGATTGATCTATTGATATTAACTACAGGTTTACCCACAAAAACACATTTTATAAAGACTGTGTTTTATGTGTATTATGTCATGTCATGTGTCATGCAGTGAAATATAACCCAACTTGGAGTCATTCCAGAATTTCATCCACATGGATTTCCTGAATATGCCTAAAATTATTTAATATTTTTCAACAGTCCTTCTTTAAGTCTGCACAGTCTAACTCCACTCTGAAGGCTAGCCTATGGGAGGATAAAAATGTCTTCTTCCTGCATCTACTTGGAATTGACACTAATGGACATGCTCACAGACCAATGTCGCAGTAAGTAGTTAACCTTGTATTAAGAGCTGCTGATTTTTTTTTATTTTTATTTTTTAACCTTTAGGCAGTAGTGCAGTGGTTTTTAGTCATGTTAACAAATTCATCCAAATAAGCATTCTCTCATCCAGCTGCATCTTTGTCTTCTATTTTGTCTTTTTCTCCCCAGAGAATACTTAGACAATATTGGTCTAGTAGATGCAGGTGTAGCTGAAGTGGTGTCTATAATAGAGGACTTCTTCGACAATGATGGCAGAACAGCCTATGTGTTTACCTCTGACCACGGCATGACAAACTGGGGTAAACTTGTTTGTGTATCTAAATGTTTTGCTGCCTGCTAGCGAGTTTTCTATTACAGTTTTCTATTTTGGCATGTTTGTGTGCGTTTGTCTCCAGGTTCCCACGGTGCGGGCCATCCTTCTGAAACGCTAACCCCTTTAGTGGCGTGGGGAGCTGGGATTCAGAAAGCCAAGGGAGTCACAGAACCCCAACCATACAATGATGGGTTCCTACAAGGTACGTTCAAACACTTTTTTTCTTTTTAAGATTTAAATTTACAACCGATACCCTCCAGTTTGTCTGTTTTACTTTGTCTAAATGATTGTCCTGGTTTGTTTCTTTTAGACTGGAAACTCGAGCATCTTCGTAGAGTCGACGTCAGTCAGGTAAAGCTCATGAAAATTTAAACTTTTTAACAATTTCCTGTCAACAGTTGTATTAAAGTGTAATATTTGTGTGTCTTGGCAGGCTGACATTGCTCCGCTCATGGCTTCCCTCATTGGTGTGCCTATTCCTGTTAACTCTGTTGTAAGTCAGAGACAAAATCAGCAATTTAATGGGAAATGTTCAATAATTTTTCAAGTCTTTGTTACATGTTTTGTCTGTATTTGTTTTTCAGGGCGTGTTACCTCTTCTCTACCTCAACAACAGTGAGCGGTTCAAGGCTGAGAGCATGTACACCAATGCTATTCAAGTACTGGAGCAGTTCAAGGTATAACAGCATCTGCTTTGGCTAACAAAATGCTTATCAACTATCTGTCATGTCTTTTATTCTTCTATATGACACTGTGATCTAAACTGATGGTAAAGCTGTGTTTTTACTGTGTGTGTGTGTTTATTTGTAGATGAAAATGATGCAGAAAAAGGAGACAACCTTATCTTTTCTCTTCACCCCATACCAGTACGTACAGTAACTAACTGATGTGTTTTTCTAACAAAAATCCAATCAGAAGAACATGAATTTGCTTTTCACCGTGGCCTGTTGTGTTTACTGTGACCTCATAGATAGTGTAAAGGGAATAGATTAAAAGAGTCCCTTTTGCAAATAATTAATTGGCAGAAACAAAAGTATTTGTAATGTAAATGCTGTGTTTTTATATCAATCCCGTTTTCAGAAAAGTTGGGATATGTTCTAAAATGTTTTTAACCTCCAAACTCTTTCACGGCATGAATTTTTAATTTCTCTTTGCTATTTGGGCTGTTTGGGACCAGATGAATGTAAAAACAAAGAATTACCAATTTATTTATTTATTTTTTACTGATTTTTGTTTCTGAGAAAAATTAGATCCACATATGAAGACATTTGTTTTAAAATTTGATAGAACAGTAGCAGTATAACGTCCTCGTAAGTGGATATCAGGCCCTTGTAGAGCAAAATTTAGTATTTTTGTCTAGACAACCCAAAATGTGATGTCCACATATGTAGATGCCAGGTCCTAGGAGGTTAAAAAATACAAATCTGTGATATGTTCATTCATGTGAACATATATTCAAGTGACCAAAGTACAAAGATGTTGGAAGATTTTCCTGACCTACTTAATTGCTTTTTGTAAATGTACCAAAATTTGAATTTGACAGGTGCAACACACTCAACAAAAGTTGGGACTGAGACATATTTACTGTTGTGTTTCTTTTAATTGCAGTTTTAAATTTTTTTTTTGAACTGAGTGTTGTAGTTTTCCAGTTAGAAATTTTGTTCATTTTTACTTGATTTAACCTGCGGTCATGTTGTCACTGATGCTCCTCTGTATCATCACAGATCCTTTTGCATTTTTCGCTGATAGCAATCTGGATAGTTGTTTTCATCACTGGCAAAGAGAACGCTGTTTTCCAAAAACACGGAAATGTGGATTTATCTGTGCACAGCACACAATGACACAGTCTTTCTGTCCTTCTGAGGTGAACCCTGGCATAGAGAGCTCTATGCAACTGACATATGACTTCCTCCTTCAATCATAATACAGTTTCAAGTTGCATTAGTGGATGTGGGACTATGTTAAGTGACAGTGGTTTTCTGAAGTACTTCTGAGCCCCGGTGGCTATATTTATATTTATATATTTATTTCACTGCAGCGTGACTGTTTCTAAGGCGGTGTAGCCTGAGGGCTCAAGCTGGTTTCAGTCTTGACCTTAGTGTGAGAATTCTCTTAATCTTTTCATAGTGGTACATTGCAAAAAAATTTTGCAATAGTGCACTGAGAAATCTTTTCTTTTGAAATCTGGAGCAATTCTCTCATGAATTAAGGAAATAACGGATGAACCACAACCCACAAAGACCGAGTTTGTGGTGATTTCTAATTTTACCTTTACCCAATCAGTTACCCTACTTAATCTGCTTCCTCTGAAGATATAAAGTTTGGGGGGTTTTATTGCATTTTGGAAAAAATCCCAACATTTCTGGAGACGGGGTTTGCACTTTCTCAGTAAATTCTTTTGCTGACCCATTAAAAATCAGTCAATGTGACATTTAGATTAACTTCTGAGGTTATGCAGCATGAAGGCCAAGAATGTGTCCACTAACCAAACCACATATTCATGGCCGTATTTAAATTGCACACTTTCACACACTTCATCTTTTTTGCACCATCCCTCTTTCTTCCCAGACTCCTGACTGAGTCAAAACAAGCAGAATTCACCCAGAAGGCCCGAATACTCATTCAGCTGGAGAAGTACGAGGATGCTGTGAGTATTGGGGGGGGGGTCTGTGGCTTTTAAATCTAATCATACTTTTAGATTTATTTTGATACTTTGATGAATTATTTAAACATTTACTGAACCTGTGTTCATAAACTAACGTCTAACTTAAATGAACTACAGTAAATGCATTCTACATTATCGCTACTTTCTCCATCGTATGTTTTCTTCCGCTTAAGCAACAAATTAGGTTTTTGTCCCCCTGTTTGTCTCTTGTCAGATCTCTTTGTGCCAGTCTCTGATATCTCGCTCTCTGGAAGGCTTGGTTTACTACCACACCTACGACCGATTCTTCCTCGGTTGCAGTGTGGTGCTGGGATTTGTAGGCTGGACCTCATATGTCGTCTTAGTCATACTGAAGACTCACGCGAGTCTCAACAGACATCCTAATCTCACTAAACAGGTTAGGATATACAGTAGATTGTAATCCCTCAAGATGCCTTCCACCCAAACAAGTCTGCACAACCTGAATGTCTTGTTAAGTTGGTATTTTTCTCCTGTGTCCAGATTCCTGGACGTAACTTGGCAAGGCTATGCACGTGTGTGGCAGTGGTGATCACAGTCTTCCTGCTTATTCAAAGAAGCCCCATAACCTACTATATTTACTGCCTGCTGCCTGTCCCTGTGTGGTATTCTGTTCTAAACGAGTAAGTAAAAGACACATTCAAAATAATGCAAACTGGATTTAAAAAATGTACAAAACATGTTTGTTCAGATGCATTCAGTCAATTTACAATAATTTGTATATTTACTATAGTCACAGAAACCTGATATTAAAACACATGCAAAAGGATCACATCAGTCAGTGAATACAGCAGCTTTTCACTGGATCTAATTAGCCTCACAAAGGCTTGTATGCACATCTGGCTCAGGTGGAGTGAAGTGCTAATTAGATCCTTTGAACTGGCGTTTTATGCATTCATGGTTCTCCTATGTAAAAGGGATAAAGAGATGTTTTATTCTTCATCTCATCCTTTTATCACAGGAAAAAGTAATCCCATCAATGATCTATTTTTAGGTCTGGAACTCTGAGAGATTTGATTCAGACAGCCCCTTCTCTCCCACTGTGGAAATGTCTGGGCTATTTTGTGCTGGTGGCGTTTGGGATTGAGCTGCTGGTAGGTGTCTTTAAATCTGCTGTGTTAAAGGCATCCTTCTGCATAAGTGCACAAAATTTCACTT